AGGGGCTGGGGTAGGACTGAGAGTGCAGAGGGGCCGGAGGAGCCACTCGAGCCTAAGTGGGTGAGGGCAGCCTTCTCATAGCAAACGAGGAAATTGAGCTCAGAGAGGGAAGGAATGTGCAGTGCCACACGGGGCCTGGGCAAATCCAGTGCCTGAACCAGGGCTCTTGACCCCCACCCACTCAGGCAGACAGGGTTCCCCCCTCACATTTCACATGACCCCCGCCCCAGAAGAGGGCTTTTTCTCCTTTTTTTATCTTTCCCCTTTTCTTCCTCTTCCTTTCCCATCTCTTCCCTTCCCTCCCTTTCCCCTTGCCTTCCCTTCTTTCCTTCACTACTGTACTGGGGGTTGAATCTAGGGCCTTCCACTAAGCTACATCCCCAGCCCTATTTATTTTTTATTTTGAAACACAGTCTCAGTAGTCCGTTAAATTGCCCAGGCTGGGCTTGAATTTACGACCCTCCTGCTTCAGCTTCCCAGAGTGCTGGGATTACAGGTGTCCCCCACCACCGGAAGGCCGGGGATGGGGTGGGGAGAAAGCACACGAACTCGGATGTCCTTGCCCTTGCGCCGAGGACGGGGACAACAGGGCCCGCAGAGCCCAGCGCAGAGCGCCTGCAGCCTCCTCCTGCACCCGCCCGCTGAGCGCTGGCTGCCTTGTGTTTCAGGCGGCTGTTTGAGCGAGTGAAGTGCATCTCCTGCGACCGGCGGATGGAGATCATGACTGGCCCGTGAGTACCGCCGCCAGGGGGCGTCCAGCCGCGCTCCCGGGTTTGAGCGGTTCGGTGGACCCAGGTGTCCTTCGCCTGCGTGAGCCGTTCTGTAGCTGTCGAGTGTATGCACTGTGTGCACTGTTCTACAGTCGTCATGTGCAGTCCTTAGGCGTCACTCTGTACAAACCCTGCTTTCCGTCCTACCACTGAGGGCCAGCGCCCGTGGGGGGAGCACTGTCTTTTTTTCTATCACTGACCCTTTCTAGGGCTGTGTACCAAGCATAAGTCAATTTAAAAAACAAAAACAAAACAAAACACAGAAGGAATCCTTGTAGGGAAAGCAGACCTTTATTGTACTTTTTTGCACTTACTTTGATAAAAGCCTGATCATATTTTAAATTTGAGAGGAAATTGGGCCGGGGATTTAGCTCAGTGGTTTCGCCGCCTGCTGCATAAGCTCAAGGACCCAAGTTCGATCCCCGGTACCAAAAAAAAAAAAAAAAGAGAGAGGAAATTCATATTGCACACAAGAACTATTTATAATGAACAATTCAGTGGTGTTTAGTACATTTACAGTGTTCTACAAGTGTTGCCCCTGTTTAATTCCAGAGCCCTATTTAGACCCCCAGATGGAAATCTCAGACCCATTAGTAATCATTCCCCATTGCCAGCTCCCCTCTTGCCCTTTGCAGCTAGGAATCTGTTTTCTTTCCCTATGGATTTGCCTTTTCTGGATGTTTCCTGTAATGGAATCATATAATATGTGGCTGGGGATTTAGCTCAGTGGTTTCGCTGCCTGCTGTGCAAGCGCGAGGACCAGAGTTCGATCCCCGGTACCAAAAAAATAATAATAATAATATGTGGCCTTTTGAATCTGGCTTTTTCCACTTAGCATAATGTTTATTTGGTTCCTCCATGCTGTAGCATGAATCCTTTCTATGGTTAAATAATATTCCACTGTGTGAACAGAGAGCTGATTGGCTGATGGAAATTTGGGTTTCTACGTTTTAATCATTGTACTTAGTGCAGCTACAAACATTTGTGGGCATATTTTTGAACACCTGGTTTCAGTTCTTTTGGTTACAAACCTAAGAGTGGAAGTGCTCGGTGATATGGTAACACTGGTCAGCTTTTTGGTGAGCTGCCACACAATAATTTGTCCTGAGTCCCAGGACCTTGCAGAGCCTCTGTTGTGCTTGCCTAGCCCTAGGACCCATGAGACTTCTTCCTGCTGGCTGCCAGTTCACATTCATGGAGGAGCTATGGAGCTTCAGCCAGTGTCTCCCCACCCTCCCTCTGTGCAGCCCTGGCGGCCACCAATCTGCAACCTGTTTCTAGAACTTCATTACTTTGATTTTTACTTTTACAATCAGAATGATTAGTTTATTTAGTCTTACTCTGATTATCAGAGCTCCTCAAGCCCTCACACTGTGGCCCCACGCAGGAGAGAAGGCCACATTTGAGGGTGGGCTTATCCAGGTCTGCACTTCCTTCCTCCTGCTGGGAAGGCTTCCCAGAGGTATGGGGAAGCTGGGGCCCTCTGCTGGCCACTGCATCTCCCACAGCCCTGGCCACCTCCTGTCCTCCACAGACAGCTGATCACCATCCGCAGAGCCCACCTGTTGTCAAGACTGCGGCCAGCCAGTGCCAACAGCTATGAGTACCTGCAGCAGCAGTAGATGAGGTGAGGCCCAGGAGCCAACATATCCTCTAGTGACAGGAGCCAAGCACTGCATGTCCCAGTCCCAAACATTGTCCACTGTCTGCAAAGGAGCCCTTCTGAGAGGTGGCTAGGGTACCAGAGAAGCAAAAGAGCTGTCCATAGATTGGGCATCTAGTGTGGGCCAAGAACTATTAGATGCTTCCAATGGGAGGGCTATTCATTAAACCTCACAACCCCCTGTATGCCAGGATTAGTATGCCTGTTTTCTGGTGGAAAAGTAATGATCGAGGGCCTTTGGGGAGCCTTTTTTGTGACTTGGAAGGCACAATGCTAAGTATTTGCCCTCTGAGTCTTTGCAGCTTCTCTTTGAGGTATATTCCATGGTCATCCCATTTTGCAGTTGAAGATACTGAGGCTTAGAGAGCTTATATGGCCTGCCCCAAATCATGCCTAATAAATAAGTGGCAGGACTCACATCCAAACTTGCAAGTTTCTCCTACTTAGCTGGTTCCCTGGGTTCCAGCTCCACCCCTAACCTCCTGACATCCTTGGTTCCAGGGCTTCTTCCAGAACCCAGCCCTGTGGAACGTGGGCCAGGGTTAGGGGGTGAACAGCTAACTGTTAATCACAGTCACGCAAAAAGGAGGGACTTAGGGCCTTGTGCTGAGCTCAGGAGAATTAGAGCAGATGCTTGGTGGCCCAGACTAGGGTTCCAGGTGTGGTCAGGTCTGGGGGAAGGCAGGTCTTGTTTTACTCCTCTCCCCAGCTGTGCATGTTGCCATCCACCCAACAGGCCCCAGGTCCTGCAGGTCATTTTGTCACCTACACCCTGCAATATTGGCCAGGGCTTGCCCTGTTCTGGGGTTCCTTTGAGGCAGAGAGGTCTCCAGGTGGCTGCTGACCCTCTTCCCTGCTCAGGGAACATCAGCAGCTGCAGTTTCAGGATCTCAGCATCCCAGAAGAGCGCTTCAAGCCCCTGGGGTCCCACCAGGACTGGAGTGATGGCCCCCGAAATGATGCCAGCCTCAAGCTCAAGTCATGCAACCTGTCAACTCTTTATCCTTATGGGGATCCCCAAGTGATAGACTATGACACTGTGAGTCTGGCCATGGCCTCCTCCATGGAATGTAGACATCAGCATGCCCCGGTCCAAGGTGTGGGACTAGTCCTTGAGCTGTGGGTGTGTCTGGAAGGCTATGCTCTGGCTTTTAGGCCTTTCCATGCACTAGTGAGGGGATGGTGGAGTGGAAGCCCTGACATGGGACCCAGACTATCCAACAGGCTGAGGTGGACATCCTGGGAGTGGATGGGATCCTGTACAAAGGCCGAATGAACAACCAGACTGGGACTCAACCCTTGGCCACTGGGAAGAAAGAGCCAGCAGGTGAGGAGAATTGAACCTGGCCACCAGTACCCTAGGTCCTGGTTCTGCTGGGTAGGGTGAAGGGTTGCAGGCAGGGCTCAGGGCTGGTGCCATCTCTGACCGGGAGACCGTCACACAATGACTCACAAAAATAGGGTCCACACTTGTGCCACGTACCTTACCTGGCACCTGGAGACAGTGGGTTATAATGTGCTCCTGAGGGGGCAGATTGTAAGCAGATGACAGAAGGCAAGAATCCATGGTTATAGAGAGAAACAGCTGACATCCAGGGAAGTCCTAGTAATGGGGTAGCTGGTCTGTGACAAGGGCATAGCCCCAGGAGGGCACTGGGCTAGTGATGAGAATTGTGCCAAGGGCTACAGTCCATAGGAGAGGGACTGGACACTACTGTGATGAAGAGGGGGAAAGAATTACTTGGTGAATAGATCAAGAGGAAGGAGCGTGGTCTAGGTAGAGAGGTGAGCAGGTATAAAGGCCTTATGGTGGGTGGAAGCCATGCACAGGTAGAATTTGGAGGGGATGAGCCCATCTGGGTGCAAAGACTAGGATGGGGTGATAAAGAGAAGATACATATAGGACATAGGTCTCAGGATCTGATTCTGGGGCCCCAGGATGCTAGATTATATCACTGAGGCTCACAGTTTAGGAAGGCAAGGTGACATACCCCTTTGGAGTGTTTCCCCCCTGGAAAGAAGTCTAAATCTTGTCCCTGGATGAGAGCCAGGGAGACTCCCTCATGAAGAGTGGTCCAGGAGCCACAATGGGCTATCCCACTGACTAGAGGACTAAATCCTAGTCACATAAGAAAGGAAAAGGAATTGTCCTCCTGGTGTGCTGGACAAAGGCACACCAGCCTACCACAGCAAACAGCAGCTTATTCTATCACTTCTGGAGGCCAGAAGTCCAAAATCAAGGTGGCAGCAGGGCCATCTTGCTTTCCAAAGGCTCTTGTAGAGGATCCAGGTTGTGTGGTTCCAGGCATTCTTTGGCAATGACCATATCATTCCAGTTTCTGCCTGTGTTTTCACACAGCTTCCTCCATGTGTCCCCTCCTCTTCTGTCTCTTATAAGGACACTTGTCATGGATTTAAGTTCAGTGTAACCCAGGATAATCTCATTTCACCATCTTTAATTACAACTTCAGGATCTTTTCTCTAGAATAAGTCACACCCACAGGTTCCAGGGGACATATCTTTTTGGAGACCACCATGCAACCCACCACAGGTCCCACCCTATTTCTAGGAGGGTAGGACATCATCTCTTCTGACCTTTGCCCAGGCAGTATGTGGCTGCTCTAGGCCCACTACTGTGGACCTAATGGGAGAGAGTTGGGCCGGGCTTCAGGGGTCACCATGTAAGGCAGCAACACAGGCTAATGTTTAATGAGCCTTGACTTTGTGCCAAGGCCTCCCCACCTCCTCTTTCCCACAGCAACCTGGTGAGGCTGTTCATGAGCACCCAGGGGAGGGTCTGCTTGCTGGGAGGGCACTCTCAGCAAGGGGCAGGGCAGATGGAGTTTACCAAAGGACACCCCAGTCCTTGTCAGGTTTCCCCAAGGTTGTCACCATTGAAAGTATGGCTTTTCCTCAAGTTGTCATTCATTCCCAAGACCCAGATAGCAAACAAGAACATGCATAGAGGTAGCCTCAATAGCTTTACCTTGCTCGCTTTGAGGGTGTGGCAGAGTGGGCCTAGAAACAGGGCCGATCCCACCAGATTGAAAAGTCTGGCCTCAGCCCCCACCTGTTCTGTTTTTTTTTTCCTTAGCTGTGAAGATTCCGTGTCCCCCAGGTCAAAATCTGTGTGACCATGTGCACTCTAGTGCCTTAGTTGGTGCCATCTACCCCCGTGAGTACCTGTCCTCAGCCCCCTTGCCCACCCTGGTCCCTCCTAGTCCCAGCCCACTCCCCTCACCCTTCAGCCTGGGGGCTTGTTCATGTCCCACCTCAGCCACCTCTCACACCTGTTCTGTCCACATCCTAGCAGCCACTTGCCCACTTGCACTGTACCAGGGTTCTGGGGTGATCCCTGAAGTAGCTCCTACTCAGCACCCTGCTTCATGGCCAGGAAAGTGGCCCAGAGCCTCAGCTGTCCAGGCTCCTGCTTCACCTGCAGGGTTGCTTCCTGGTCCCAGGCACCGACCCAGAAGCCCAGGCCGGGTGTCTATCCCCAAGTAGCCACCCAGCTACGAGGGTGAGACAAAGGAGCTCTCTTACTTCTCTTGGCAAGGGGCTCCAGAATCCATGCTAGGAGGATCTGAGCCCCTGAATTTCCCTGATGTGAACTACCAGGTGTCAGGCATTTAGGGGCACTTTTTGGTTTATAGAGCACTTTCTCCCTCTGCTCGCTTCTGATCCTTAACCCAACTCAAAGAAGTTAGTCCATTCCAAAGATGAGGGAGCTGGGATGAGCAACCTGAGCCCCAAACCCCAAGCTATGTGTCCTCCCAGGTGCTCTGCTTCACTTTGGCATCCATTTATGGAGTCATAATTCTTGCCCCCCCGCCCCGAAGTTTAGGGTTCCCAGAGCCAGGAGGAGCATGGTCACCAGCCCTAACGTGGCCCACAGCCCTAACATGGCCCACAAAGCACCTCCAGTCTTGGTCTTCTCTTCCTCCAACAAGGAGGAACCCATCAGGCCAGCAGCCTCTGGGAACATCTTGAGATATAACACAGGTTTCTCCCTCCCTCCAGCCCTGGGCTCTTGCACCAGCATCACCTCAACTGCCTCAGGCACTCCCACCATCCCCTTGGCTCGGCTACCATCTCTGCTGCCCCTGACGCTGCTGCCAGCACTCATCCCATCCCCAAGGGACCCACAGCAGGCCTCAGAGTTCACTAGGCACTTAAGATCTCCACACCTTGAATCCCGAGCCAGCACACGGCCTATGGAGGAGCCCACCAACCTGTGAGCCCCACCCCTTCCCCCCTACCAGGTCCCCTCCACGTCCCTGAGGCCATATGACTGGCCCAGGAAATGAGGCAGGGACCCTGGACATAGGGGAAAGGTCTGCATCATATAGGAAGGACCCCATGTTGACCCAGCAGTTGTTTTAACTCTGTGTGTATAAAAAACAACATAATTCTTATTGACATTTCCATGGAGAACATAGCTCTCAAGTGCATTTTCCACTGAGCCAGTGAAATTCCTTGACCAATTTTTAATACAACAGAGTGGCTTTAAAACCATTCCTCTCCTTTTGATTTTGCTTCAACAATGTCATCAGAATCAGTTCCCACTATAGCTCCTGCCTCTGTGCCTCTTACCTGGGGGCCATTATTTCTACTAAGACCAGTTTTCCCATGGCAACCAAATTTCACTTTTTGTTTTGTGTTGGTTGTTTCTACCGGTAATTATTCTTGTGAATTGGATTGTTCCTATCTCTTTCTTGGCTGACCCACAAGGAAACCGGTACAGTGCCTCTTGAGTATTCTAGGATTGTGGGGTTCCTTCCACCAGTTTCTCCTGCTTTTTTTTTTTTTTTTTAGTTTTTTGGCATATATTTACAATATAAATACTAATTTGTTTTCAAAGTACATATTACTTTTAACAATTTCAGAAAATTATCTAGCATGGGACAGCAGTTTAATGTAGCCTCTCAAGTAGTGATTAAGGAAAATAGAATGTCTGAGGACGGGGAGCCTGACGGGAATCAGAGTGGCAAGACAGTTGGTCAGAGCTCGAGTCCAGCCCACGCCCCGTGTGCCATAGAAAAAGGATGCATGCTTGCATAGTGCACTAGCCGCAGAAAAGCTCAACAGTTCATTGTCATTCTCAACAGTTTAAATGAATAGCATTTAGAACACATCACACAAAATTAAAGACTTGTGCATATATTTCAGATTCCAACATTAATGTAAAAAATACATAGTATGATTTCACATAAGATTTGTGTTACATTAGAACACTACAGACAAACATCACTTGAGTATTAAGGAAAACAAATATTAAATAACAAATGAAATGTGTAAACACTAACTACAGGGCCTTTGCTATTGCAACGTGTCCAGTGAAGTGGTTTCCACAGTACAAAGGGGCCAGGATGAGAGCGCTTTCTGCTTTCCATCTATGTGGGTTCGGGGCCTCCTCGCCCACCGGGAGCCTTCAGTGAAACTGGTCCAGGGTGGTGGGAGAGGAGCCACTCTCCTGACTGCTCTTTGGTGCCCGCCACTCTATGCGAATCTACCTCAAACCCGGGCACTGAGCAAACACTCCAGCGTGTCACTGCTGGTCAGCATCGTGGTGAGAACTGAGGGTTTGTTGGCAACTCCATGTATGATTTGCGTTCCTATGCAGCACCCCTATCGACCTCCATGGACTTTCTGGAGAACAGGAGCCGCACGTCCCTGTGGAGGTAGATCTTTCCAGATCTGGAGCTCTGGAACCTCAGGTGGATGAGGTAGCGTAACAAGCGCTCTTCCGTGTGCCGGACGCTGTCCTTGCCGACGCTTCTCCGGGCCTCGGGCCTCACAGGCACAGAGAAGGTCCTTTGCCGTAGGAATGTCTGGTGGTTGGCCGGCATGTCCCGCAAGTCATACATCACAACAAACATCTTCACCACAGTCTTATTGGGATTGAATAAGGTCACTTGTATTGTTCCTGAAGGAGGTACTCGATAACCCCTTTTACCAAGGGCCTCTAAAGTAATCACACCCATATAAGGAGAGGGGGTGTTGTCATCAGAAACACTGTAGAAGGACACCTCCACCGGGAGGGTCAGGTGGGTGGGGCAGAACACACCGCTGGCCCCTACCTCGGCAGTAAAGCCGTCAACCACCCCAGGGGGGTCCAAATGGAAGTTCAGAACGGACTCCTCAAAATTTCCTAGGAGACTAAGACTTGTTATAGGTGGAGCGCTAGAACTCAAAAAAGGTTTTTCGTGAATATTTGGATCATTTTCAATGTTTAAACACGGTTGAGGGCTTCTAGATGATAAGCTTTTCAGATGTAGTAATGAAGAATCCAGATCAAAGCAACCTGACTATGCTTTTCTCTGAGGAACAGGACTTGAAAGAAGAGGCAATCCAGTTCGGGGATGAAAGGCTTGGGTTGAAGTTCTGTCCAGGGAATGAAAGTTAGGCTTTTGCCAGATACTTGAGTGTTTCAGTGCGGTCCTCAATATCTTTGTATTTTTCAGTTGATCACAAGTAGATATACAGTCTTTTATACTCTTTCTCTGAGAACAGTTTTGAGATTTTTCAGCCACTGAATCTTTCTTGTCCTCATTTTTTAATTGGTCTGATTTTTTTGCATTTGAAACCTTCATTATCTTTACTGAGATAATTTTCTATGCTATTAACTTGAGTGTTTTGCTTATATGTCTTCAGCTTTTTTGAGTCTTTATTTGAGCAATTATTTTCATACCTGTTCAAATATTCAGGCATTTCCAACATATTAACTTTCATATTTGAGTCAATTTGTTTTGAGTTATTAAACTGGAGATTATCAAAAGATTCGGAATTACAGTGGTCACTGTTTATTATTTTCCCTTTACACTTATTCACGAAGATCTTGTTGTCAATACTGTTGCAATCTGAATACTGCTTCTCAATTCCAGTGCTGCCTTCTTGCTTCTTCAATTGTGACTCCTCGAGTGTATTTTCCAATCTGCTGATCAAGCCTACATCACTGTCACTGCACTGGGACACGTGTGAGGAAGCCAACAGAGCAGTGGCTCTGTCCCGTGTTTCTGGACACCCGCTCTGGACCCCGTCACGGGGACTGTGCTGGTGCCGAGTCTGCACTTGGGGTTCCATGGAGGACTTTTCTCTACTGCTGCATCTGAAAGAACTACAAGCCTTGTCAGGTAGTAAGCTTTTCCCATCAGTGCTGTCTCCCAACAAGGATGGTTTTGAAGGAGGAAGGGAAGCAGAGCCACCATTCCCGTTCTTCCACAAGTGCTTGTCATCACAGGAACTCTGGAACACTTTGGAAGGAAGGCTGCTGGAGTCGTGCAGATGGAAGGTGGGCCAGGGAGCGTGGGGTGCTGCGGGGTCAATGTGCTCCAGGTGGTGTGCGATCCTGGCGATCACATCCTGCCGCTCCTACAGTAAGGAGCCTATCAGAGGGCTCGCCTCTCCAGCACCATGGTGAGGGTGCAGACCACCAGAGATGCGAGGCCCGCTTCTCAGAGGGTCCGGTTTCCCTCGAGTTTTTCCCTCGCTAGTGTCTTCTATGGGAGTGAACTGTGGACCACCAAAAGAAATGGAGAACGCATCTTTACATTTTCTCACATCGTCCCTCTTTGTGTGAAGCCTGGCACAGTTTCGGATGCGGGGCACTGGACTCTTGAGTGGCGAATGGGTGTGTGGAAACATGGGAAGTGCTTGGGTCACAGTGAATCAGGTGCTGAAACGATTCTTGCAATGACTTCTTGTCGACCCTGGATTAAGGAGTTTATCAGAGGGTTTGTCTCACCAGTTGGCTGCCTGGAGCTCTGGTGGCTGGAGACACCTGAATCCACCACTGAAAGTGATTTCCAAGTTCTCATGGACGTTTCATGTGGCTTCATATCTCCTAGGCCACTCGAGCCCAGAAGACTGGCCCGAGATGTACCGTAAGGGGACTTCCTGCCCGAGGCCAGATGGGGCCCACCGTTTCTGGTGGCTGCAGTGTGCTCAGGAGTGGGGCCGCTTCTTACATGCCGCACACTCTCAGGCCCCGCAGTCCACGCCTGTCTGCTGCACAGGCGCTGTGAGCCGTTCGGACTGCACTGCTCTGCTTCAGTGGGACTGCAGTGCTGACAGGCTTTTCGCTCGTGGTTTTGAATCCTGTCCTCATAAACGCCAAGATTCATGTGAATGCTACAGCACAGGACTGGGTAATTAGACTGTTGGGGCAGGGAATGAATGCTGACTTTCAAGGCCATACTGTGAGAAACGTTGGGGACAGGAAACACGTGCTCAACTGGAGTCTAGGGGAAGCGCCACTGCAGGTCTGCCGTCAGCGGCACTGATCCTGTACAGGATGTTTTGTGGGACAGCACCGTGAGAGACACTCAGCCAAGCACTTAACTGGGAAAAGAACACGAACGAGCGCACAGCCAGCAGGAGAGTCTTCTCCTCAACGAACCGACCGCCATTCTGCTGAGGCACCGGCTCCAGGATCCATCTCTCCAGCAGCAGGGCATCCTGCTTGACGGCAGGGTCATTCAGGTTGGTCCCTTCGGTGCTGGGGCTGTTGTCGCTGTAGCAGCAGTCCGGGAGCAGCATCACCTCCACCGTGACCGGAAGGTTGCTCTTCCACAGCAGAGTGACCTCAGACCTGGTGCGTCTGGCTTGGCGACACTGGGCCAGCTTGTAGCTGCACTCGTGTCAGGTGGTGGCTGGGAGGCAGGACTGTGCCGGGGGGCAATGGAGGCTCTCCGTACGCCCCTTCACGGAGCATTCTGGTGTCCGTCCTTCTGTTATTAGCAAGGCCAGAGAGACCAGGAACTCCTCTGAATCGTACTCAAAATACTCATCCAGAGCATCTTGCTCGGGCTTCATGTTCGCGTCCAGGCTGCACCTGCACTGTGATGCTCACGTGGGCGCCCTCCACGGCTCGCCGCAGCCCTGCTCTGGGTCCTGAGCGCTGTGTGCCCGCCCCACAGCCGTGCCCACTCAGGAGAGGAGCCTGGGCCCAGAGAGCTCACCGGCCGCCATCGCGGGCCGCCCCGCCAGAGGCCTTCTCCTGCTTTTAGCCCACACATTTGGTGGTGAAAAGAGCATACCAGGAGGTCACAAAGTCTCAAGTCTCATTCTGCCAGTTTAGCAATCACTCTTTTGGGGGGGGGGGGTGTACCGGGGATCGAACTCAGGTTTTTGCGCTTGCGCAGCAGGAGGCGAAACCACTGAGCTAAATCCCCGGCCCCTAGCAATCACTCTT